AAAACCCCCCCCCCCCCCCCCCCCCCCCCCCCCCACACCCCACACAGACAGCATGGATGGGATGCAGAGAGACGAAGAGCCAGATAACAGACAGATGCGTATGTATGGGTGGGCAGCTGGCAGGCTGTCAGGTCAGCAAAATAGCCAGCCGCTATGCATACCCCGTGTGTGTGCCCGTGTGTGTGTCCGTGTGTGTGTGTGTGTGTGTGTTGTGTGTCTGTCCGTCCGTACCACAGAAACCCAGACAGACGAAAGGGCAGGAAAGCGGAGAGAAAGACACACACAGCACAGAGACGGAGGGAGGGAGAGACTGGACTTCAAACAACACAACACAACACAACACTCCATCACACGCACCTAGCAACACTCCCAACACGTCCATCCTTCTCAGCCACACTCTGTGTGTGTGTGTGTGTGTGCTATGCTCGCCGCTGTGTGAACTGCGTCCCACTGAATGCCCCACCACCAGTGCTGCTGCCGCTGCCCTGCTGCCCGCCGAAGAAGCCCTGTGTGGGGCTGCTCGCCAACGCGCCAAACCCACCCCCACCGCCCGTCGAGTAGGCCGCAAACCCACCGCCTCCACCACCACCAAACTGATGCACACACACACACCACACAGTGAGGGCAAGCGATTTGGTTCGTGGTCTGATGGATGGATGGATGGTTGCCTGAATCGTGTTGAGTGTGTCCCGTCCGTCCGTATCTCACTCAACTAACTCACCGCTGGAGTGGTCTGTTGACCAGCACCCGTCGCTGCTCCACCTCCGAAGGCCCCCGACCCGAACCCAAAACCGCTGGACGTCTGGCCGAAGGTGTGGAGGGGCAGATGGGATGGCGCACCCTGACCGCCGCTGCCAGCGGGCGTCACAACCCCCAGCTGGCCCAACAGACCACCACCACCACCAGCTGCGCCGCCCCCTCCCCCGGTGCTGGTGGAGCTGAAGTTGAATGTGAACCCCCCGCCGGCCCCTGTGGCAGGGGTGGATGGTGTGATGGTCTGCATGACGGGGGGCGCCGCGATGGACGACAAGCCACTACTGATGGCCGTGGTCGTAGTGGTGCCGGCTGCCGACGGGAAGACTAGGGCCGCGGCCGGTGGCGACGTAGTGGATAGAGATAGTGACGCCAGGCCTTCAGTGGCCGCTGCTGCTGCTGCTGCTGCGGTGCTCGTCGGCTGTGCAGACGGGAACAGTGGCGCGGGAGGGAGAGGGGCAGCTGCGGCGACTGGCGCTGCCGCGGGTGGTGGTGCAGCTACTTTTGCCATGGTAGTCGGCGACTTGGACCTCACCGATCGGCCCATCCTGTCCCTTTCCTCTCCTTCGTCGCTGTCTTCAGTGGCAGCGCCTTGATCGCGTCCACGCACGGTGCCCTCGGCTACGACAGGAGGCTGTGGGATGGGCGGAGGGGGCAGCGGTGCTGGGGGCACCGCGGCTGCCGCACCGCCACCGCCACGGCCAAATGTCGGCGGTGTCTCCTGTGGTGCAGCCTCTGCCGGTATCGAAGCCCTCTGCTCCCGCGGCCGTGGCGGCGTTGGGCTGGGTGCCGGGGGTGAAAGGAGAGAGGGCGGCTGCTTGGAGAAGGCTGTTGGCCTCTGCTGCTGCTGCTGTGCCGTCGTGACGGGTGTCTCGATCCTCGATAGGTCTGGGGGTAGGCTGGCGCGGCGTGTCCCGGCGGCCTTGGGCAGCTGAATGGGGTCGGGCATGCGGAAGCCGTCCGCGTCGACGTCCGTCGGGGGGCCGCTGCCGCCCATCGATGGCACCGATGGCACCACCCGACCAGTGGACGGGGGACGCTGCGCTGCGGTCACTTGCCTGAGAGAGAAGCGCAGCACACAGCGGGTCGGTTGTGCATGAGTGCGCGTGTACGGGCATACTCACTCGTCCGTGTCCGGGCGACGTGGCCTGGTGGTTGCTTTGGGTGGGGGCGGGCCTCTGCCGGGTGGCATCTGGGGGACTGGTGTGCGGACACCACTGGGGGGGCCACGACTGGCTCGGGACGGGACACCTACACCTGCGCACAGACCAGGCCAGACAATAGAACACACAGAAGGGCGGATGGGATGACATGAGCGGCAGATGGCTGGCTGGCTGGATGGACCTACCTGGGAGTGCCGGAACGGCCAGGTGTGGCGCTGTCTGCGGGATCTGCTGTTGGGCCTCCCGATCTCGCTGCTCCCTCCGCATGTAAGACAGGGCACTCTCAACTGCAGGGCCGCCAACTGCCGCACGGGCAGGCGCGATGACCGGCTCAGCCCTGGTCCAGACACACACATACACGCACATCCCATCCACCCCCCCTCGTGTCTGTCGTGTGGTGTGCATGTGACTGGGCTGGCTCGTCCATCGCTCACTTGATGGGTGTTGCTTGTGTCGGCCTCGTTGCCCAGATCTGCTCCACACGCCTCGCGATCTCAGCACGGTGGGCTGCGGGCACATGGCGAGGCGGTCGCTGGTCGGGCGGCTGCCCCTCCCGTCGACTCGCCGGGCCAGCCCTGTCTGTTGAGTGACGGCGCCTGGATGGGCCTCCCTGCAATCGCAACAGCCTGACGCGCTCCTCAAGGGTCGCCAGAAACTTTTCGGTCTTGTCGTACTCGTGCCTTATGGACCTTGCATGGCAGGTGGTGTGGACAGGGAGGGACACGAAGCGAGATCACGACCGTGGGCTGTGCTGTGCGTGGGGGTAGTGTGGTGGGGTGTGGTGTGGTGTGGTCATATGGTATGGTGTGATACTATGCTGTGCCTACTCGACATCTTGCTTGAGGTGCTCCTCATCGAGTTCGGGTGTGCGGCTGTGGCGGAAGTCAGGACGGCGGGGCGCAGGAGGGGGGCTGCACAGCACACACCACCACACACCACCGACAGACACGTGTCGTGTTGGTGTGGTGCTTCCTTGCCAATCACTCAATGTAGATGCGGTGGTCGTCTGCATGTCATGTCCAGGTTTTGTTTGTATGTCGCTCACCTGGTGGGTCGGTCGTGCGCCGGTGGTGTGGAGAATGGGTGTCTTGAGACCAGCTGCGAGCCGCCCCTGCCGCGGCCGGGCAGGCGACTCAGCCTGTCCCGGTGAGCCGACGCACTGCAGCCATCCCATCCCATCCACGACAGACAGACAGACAGACAACCCAGCGGCAGCCAGACGTGAGCACACACCAGGGTGGATGGATGGATCATATTTCAACCCACCGTACGTACCGTTGGGCCAGGTGCATCCTCTCCAGTGCCGTCCGTGCGCCCTCGACCCCCTCCCTGTCCTCCCTGGGCTGGTTGAGCAGGGTGCTCCAGCCACCGATACCGAACCGATCAGCCCCCGTCTCGGGCCTCTTGGTCCGTGGCCCTCTCTCAGCCGTCAGGGGTGCGGTGCGCTTGTGGCTGTCCGGTGGGCGAGGCGGTGAGGGGCCGCGCTGTGATGCGTGGCGGATGGTGTCGCGGATGTCACGATTGACCCTTTTGGCACGCGCAGAGATGTCGAGGGCTTGATGGACCAGCCTGACACGACACACACAGACAAGACAGACAAGACAGGCAGACAGACAGACAGGTGATTGGGAGTGAATGGTGCTTGGTGTTCTCTGTGTGTGTGTGTGTGGTTGTGTGTGTGTGGTTGTGTGTGCCGCCTGACTGACTCGTGGACTTCGGGTGACGCAAGTTTGACAGTGTCGTTGGAGAGCCATGTGGCCGCTTCCGCCTCGGCATGCACCGGAGGGGAAACACACTGATAGCGGCACACAAGACAACACAACGCCATTCATTGCATGTCATCCCTCCCTCCCTCCCTCCCTCATCCATCCATCCATTTCTGTCTTGTTCCCTCCCCCCCTTGCGTGTGCCTACCGTACCGCTCTGTACAAATGCTGGATTATGCGGGCCATTTTCTCGTATTCGGCCATCTGCTCGAATCGACGACAGAGGGGCACCGAGGTAGAGCTGCCATCGCCGTCAGCAGGCAGCTCCCTCTCGGCCTCACTCAGCGCCAGACGGGCCGCATCGTGCTCCTCTGAACGGGCCAGACAGACAGATACACAGATGGGTGGACGGTGTGGTGGTGGTGGTGTGGCGGTATGTGGCTCACCCTACCCTGTCTCAGTTTGATTTGCTCGAGCATATCCTTCACTTGCTGTGCCTGTGCCTGGCTGAGGACCACTTGTTCGTCCTCAATCTGCCTGACGCGCCTCTCGAAGCCGCGACACTGATAGAACACCTCGGCGGTCATCTTGGTCTGACACGTCAAAACACACACACACATGTCATGTCAGGTGTTGCTTTGCTTCCATGACCAATATAATCCTCCCCTCTCCTTAAAATGCTGACCGCGATGCCCCTGCCCATGGAGCGTTCAGCCTTAGCCTGGAACAGCTCCTCGGCCTCGTCCATGAGCCGCATCGTCCTCTCACGCCCCTCACGCACACGATCCTGATCCTGATCTTGTTCTTGTTCCACCATCCACTCCACCGCACGGACCTCCTCGCCCTCCTCCTCTTCAAGTAATGTCTCGTCGGCCTCCATCGGCTCCTCAGGCGCATACAGATAGCCATAGCCTAAACCCTCCTGGCCTCGGTCAGCCTCTGGCGTGGTCTCGCTGGCGTCCGGTGAGGGCGACTGGATGGGGAGGGGGGAGGGGAAGGGATACACGGACGGCGGGGGCAGACTGGGCGCTGCCCTGCTGGGGGGCGTCTGGAACATGCCACCCTGCTGCTGCTGGTCGGCCCCGGCCGACTGACGTGGCCGCAGAGGGAAGGCACCTGCTCCTGCGGCTGCTGGTGCCGCTGCTGCTGTAATGGTGAAGAGCGGTGGAAATGGCGCCGCCGGCTGCGGGGGCGGGGGGGACAGTGGGGAGAGTGGAGAGGCAGTGGACAGCCCCCCGTTGCTGCGTTGAGTCGGAGGAGCCATCACCGCACCGCCAGACATCGGCGGCGGAGCCGCGAAGGGCACTGGCGCTGACACAAAGGCACGCAACACACACACAAACAGACAGACAGGGCAATCATGATCGGTCAGCCGGAGTCTTACACACGTGTCTGTCTGATTCCACCCTCCCGCCCAGCCTCTCACCCCTTTCACCTTGAAGATTGGCCTGTAAGGGTCCTGCGGGTGAGCCTTCCCGGCTGTCGGCCAGCTCAGTGCCGCTCTCCTCTGGCGACTCGGGCGGCTGTCGCAGGGGGGAGCCACCGGGGGCACTGGCCGACATCGATGGTGGCCCTGATGTGATGCATGACGGCGAGGGCGGCAGGGGGGCCTCCCATGTGTCGCTGCACAGCTGCGGCATGTTCTGGTAGTTGAGTATCTTGGCCGTGAGGTTGCCCGCCGTGGACGAGAGCAGCAGTATGGGGGGGCGGTCCACAGTGACGGGACCTCTGGTGTAGCTGCCCTCGTACCCGAAATACGCACACGCACCTGACCTCCCATCCCATCACCACACACAGATTCCATGCACAGCTCAGATCGATTTGGATGTGATGCCTGAATGGAATGCACGCTCTGTGTCTGGTGTGGTTGCTTTACCGCTCCAGCCGGCTTGGTCGTCGGTGCCGACGTTGACCGACAGAACGGGGCCCTGCCCGCTGCGGGTGATGACCCACTCGGATGGGGCCACATCAGTGTCCTGCTGGCCGTCCGGCGGCATAGCGAACTGTTGGTCCCGCGACAGTGTCAGGCCCTGGTCACCCTTGCTCGTTGACACCAGCAGCAAACCACTGTCAACACAGATGGATGGACGGATGCATGGGCAGTGAATGGGTGAGTTGGTGTGTACTTGTGTGCTGTGTGTGTTGGGCGGGCGGGGCGCTGGGTGCTCTCATCCACCACTCACTCACCATTGTGGCATGAAGTGGAAGATGGCGCGGTCTGTGAGGCTCCACGAGTCCACATAAACCTGCTCAAACGGACCATGAGACCGATCGACAGACGACGTCCACCTAGTATAGTAGTGTTAGTGTGCTGTGCCCAGCCTTACGCACGCACCTCGTTGACGTCAGACCTGCCCACCCACTGGATGCTGCCGTCGCCCGCCATCACGCGAAACATGATCTGAATGAAGGAAGCCACACAGGACAGGAAGGCCGATCCGATGGATCATCTGGACATCTTTTGGTTCCATGCTCCCTCCCTCCCTCCCTCCCTCCATCCCTCCATCCAAGGTTGTCTTTACGATGTATGTGTCCAGTGGCGCCGAATCGTCCGTCGGGTCGGCGCCTGGAGCAGGGCCAAGCCACACGGCCGCCCACAGCTCGTCTGTGCGGCCGCCGCTGGACGGGTAGGGAACCGAGTGCATGCCCACCACGATGCCCCTGGAACCAGCAACACACACACACACACACACGGTGCTCATGTGGGAGGACTCTGAATGCGCGTGTGTGTGCGGCGGTGTGGTGTGTGTATGGCACCCGCTGAGGTCGTTGTCAGCGATGGGTGTGATTTGCACGTCTGTGAGGCTGGTGCTGCGGCACACACCGATGTGGCCTAGCAATGAGTGACAGAGGACCACGACAGATGTACACGTGTAGATCTTCACCCACATCAACACACGTACCTGGTTGGCTGAGGCCGAAGACAAGCACGTCCGCACTCGGCACAGACGCCACCGACGTCCTCAGCTGACAGGCAACTGCCCCCCAACGCACAAACACACGACGACACACTCATGGCGATGTATGTCACGGAATACCAGATTCCTCCCTCGTCCACTCCACCAACTCCCTCCCTCCCTCCCTCACCGCAGGTGGCGCCGTGTATCGGAATTTGCATGCAGGGCGGCTCTGCCGTCATGGTGGCGGTGAATGGTCCAACGATCCGCGCGGTGCTCCTGGCGTACACATGGAGGGACGCCGGCATGATGCGGTCCTCCGGCTGTGCTGCGGCAGCGGGTGGGGCGGGGGATACCATGTCGTCCACACAAATGCCCACGATCTCGTCACGAGCTGTGGGGTGGGGGGACCCGACACACAGCCAGATGGGAGTTAGTTGAGTGTGCCGGTGTGGTGTGGTGTGGTGTGTGCGGGCGGGCGGGCGAACCTGTCCACTGGAAGTCGATTATCAGGCCGCCAAATGAGTACTCCGTCACCTGTCAGTCAGTCAGTCAGTCAGTCAAACCAAGCCAGACAGACAGCCACCGACAGACAGACGGACATTCACGTGACGTGTTGTGTTGGCTGGTACATCAATTGATGATGTGTCGTGTGTGTAAGTCCTTCGGCAGGTGGTGTGAGTGAGGAAGGAGTGCGGACGTTGTGTGCGTACGTACCTGTGCTGGAGGGCTCTGGCAGACGTCGAATACGATGATTTCGTGTCCGATTTGGCAGGCACACATGCTCTCGTCGTTGCTGAGGCGGATCTGCGCCGCCTTCTGGCCCTCCGCATCACCCGCCAGCTGCAATGCATCAAACCCAAGGAGGACGCATGCGCACACACACACGCATGTATTGCATGAGAGCGCGTCTGTCTGTCTGACTGACTGACTGGCGTCAGTCATGGGTGGTTGTGCCATGCACAGTACCCACCGGGAAGACTGCAGCTTCGCGGTACTGCTGAATCGCGGCCGGCTCGGGAACCTCCTGCATGCCATGCAGGCCATGCAGCCACACACCATACCCATACACACACCACACCCATACATACGTGTGGTGTGTTGGTGTGGCTGGCTTCACTTGACAGGTACGGTAGGTACGCTCTCCCTCTCCCTCCCTAGGACCTTGTGTGTCTGTCTGTGCTGTTTGTTCACCTGTTCCAGGTCCAGCCCTGCCAGCATGTCACCCACCTTGTACGCACACAAACCTACATACAGGTGAGCGAGAATGCATTCCCCGACACACAACACCAACCAACAGTCGTGCGGTACGTGGATCTCTCCCTCTCTCTGTGTGTGCCAGCGACGCGGGTACCGCACCATACCTGATTGTGAGAGGCAGTAGAGGCGTCCATGGCGTCGTGAGAGTGCCAGCTTGGGCCCTGCCGGCCCTCTCACGCCACTAGGACTGGCATCCCCGGTGTCGCCCGTCACAGACACCAACCCCTTGACGACAATACCTGGTCATCACAGGTCACACAGAGAGGTCAGGCAGACTTGATGCTGATGATATTCCCACTTGTAGAGGCGCATGCACGTACCCTGGAAGAGTGACGGTCCGACATCTACAGATGCGACCGATGCTATCATATTCTCTCTCAGCGCCGCGTATGGGAGAAAAAGCAGAGATCTGCACGCTTCAAGCTCGCAGATTTTTCCTGGCCGATTCCCTCGCCTCCAATGACGCGGCGTGTGGTTGTGGTGGTGCTGTTCCTTTCTCTCTGTGCGAAGAGCGAGCCGGCGAACGAGTCGTCGACGATTGAAAGCAGCCTGTGTGTCGGTTCGGTGTGCTGCCGGATCCGCGGCCCAGCTCCCTGCGCCAGCCTGCTGGAATCCGTTCAAGAGCTGCGGCTGCCATCACGGACCCAAGTGCCAGAGGTCAGAAAGAAAGCCAAAGAAACAAACGAGCTTATGGATGGATGCCTTTGGATGGATGGATGGATGGCCACACACAGATATGTGGCGGTTCGTGTGTGAGCGAGGTGGTAGATGCGCTTCACGGGTCCAAGGCCTGCCCTGCAAAGGTGGTCTATGGCGTACACAAAGTCATGGAGGCGCTCTGCAGAAAGGTACAAACGTACGTTAAAAACGAATGAATATATGCACACACCACACCCGGAATGGAACGACCACTCTCCTGTCCTGTCCATGGCATGGATTGCAGCTAGGCCAGGTGGGCGAGGGCCGACCTCACTGCATGGAGGACTTCATCAGAGAGGGCGAGCACCTGCGGCGTGTCATGGCCTCCTTCCCGCCAACCCACAACCTCTCCCAACCCATCATCCTCCAGCTGCCCCTCACCACGGCCAGCAACCCCCCCAAGCGCCTCTCGCCCGACGGCACCTTCATGCTGTCCATGTGCGAGACCCTCGGCGACACGTGCATCGCTGCCGGGCTGGAGGTCGAGCAGTGGCTCAACTACCACCGAAGGATACGTCAGGATGGCGAGCAGACGAAGGGCAAGGGGAGGGTGCCATTATTGGTGTATCCAGGGGAGTTTTATGACACGGTGAGGAGGTTCGGGTGCCATGGAATCGATGTGGGTGAGGGGGTGGGGAGGGAGAGGCTGTGGTGCTGGCGGTCGGTGCTCGAGGCCATGCAGAACATGCCGCATGTCGTTGCCAAACTCATCGACACTCCGCAGGAGTTCTGCAAAGGTACGTAGGTTAGTCTGGCCAATCCCTCCTGCCATCCGATGCATCCCTGGATGGGCTGCCTTCATATGTGTGTGTGCTGTCTGTCGTGTCGTTCATGGCTCATCAGATCCATGTCAACCGATGGCCCTTCAGGAGGTGCTTCGCATCCGCCGCAGTATCCTGCCTCTGGCCAGCGATGCGGCCCTCCAGGCCAGCGGCAGGCACCGCCCGTCCGAGTCGACACTCATTCTCAGTGAGGCGGAGGCCGATGCACTCATACCACTCGCAGACAGTGCGTGTGGGCATAAGCTGGCCAAAGACAAGAGCTGCTCAACCATGGTCGCACCGCTGCTGTTCCCACAAGCAATGGGAGGGAGCAGCGAGTCGACCATGATGCCGTCTGATGCTGCCCGTGAGCTGTGGACGCACCAGGGTGTCTTTGCAGTGGGCAACGGGACTACGGCCGATGGTGAGGTGTGCGGTGTCATCAGTGCGGCGCAGCAGGAGATGGGATGCTGCACGGGGGCGGCACTGGCCGTGCGCCATAGGGTCAGCGACGCGGCACATGATATGTGGAAAGGCACTTTTGCAGAGGAGGCAACGACCACAGGTGAAGAGAGAGGGGCAAGCCTGTACGCGTCGGCGAGAGTGCATCCATCATATCTGTGTGTCCACCGTGTGCAGAGTTGCAGAGGACGTACGGGGGCTGTGTGTGCCAGGAGAGCTACACATGGCGAGAGAAGGAGTACAGCGGCCGTCGGAAGGCCGACGCCCTCGGCTGCATCCGCGACGGCTCGCCCTTCCCCTGGTGCATTGTGCAAGACCGCCCCTCAGGCTGCGGCAGGTACTCGCCCATCGGCCTCTTCTGGTGGGACAAGTGCGTCATCGACACACCTGACAATGCGCCATTGCCGCACGCCGACCCGCCCAATGATGCCGACGCCCCCCTGTTGGTGCTGCCACCGCCCCCACTGCCCGTTGTGGCTGCACAGGAGGGTGGAAAGGGCACAAATGAGAGTGAGCAGCTCGGTGTGGGTGTGGGTGTGGGGGCAACGACAGCTAAGCTGTTTGTCTGTGTGCATTGATTGCCTGTAGGTGAGGTCAGTCCGATCAAGACGGACAATGGGTGCACCTGCAAGGAGAGATTTACAAACAAAGGTGACCTGGCAGAGGGAGGGACGATATGATAGAGTATTATCATGTGACGTGACATCCACCCTCTGGAGACACATACGTCACGTGTGTGCTGGTTGGTGAATAATCAATTCATATATCAGGTCGTGTCTACGACGGCAGCTGCATTGCCAACGATGAGTCCGGGTCGCCCCCCTGGTGTCACACCCAGGGCGGCTGCGGGCAGTTCTCATTTGGCGAGAGCACCTTCTGGGACTTCTGCAAATGCGATAATGGAACCTGCCCCGTCGGACCTCTGCCGCTGCGTACGCGTACACACACTGACGGATGCGGTGTGTGTTTACATATGTGCTGTGCATATCATGTGCTGCGTCTGTGTGTGTGGTTGCCTGGCCCAGCGTCCGTCGGCGAGGCGGGTTCCATCGGCACTGAGACGGACTGCAAGTGCCTCCGGGAATTCACATACAAAGGTAGGTGAGAAAGAAGGTGGGCAGCTTCGCTTCGGGGGCGTGGCGTGGCGTATGGATGTGACGGCGGGCCATGTTGTCTTTCCGTCTCAGGTCGTCCTTATCGCAACGCGTGCATCATCCCCGACGACCCCACACTGCCGCCATGGTGCCCTGTTAGTCAGGTAGGTACACACACATACACGCACGACCACATACACGCATACACACACACACACGTGTCACGGATCCCTGCGTCGCATGGCATGTGTTGTATTGCTGGTTGATGGTCAGGAGAAGTGCGGTCGGTTTGCCGAGGGTGTCGGGGCCTGGTGGGACTTCTGCAAGTGTGGCGACATCCAAGACCCCACGGGGCCATGCTCGGCTGGTGACACACCATCAGCACCACCAGAAGAAGAGGCCGACGCCACCACCCCGCCACCAGAAGGTGATGATGTGTTCGTCATCGAGCCGAGCGATGGACACGACCAAGTGAATGGCCCACGAGGTACGCAGACTGGCTGGGTGCCGTCCTTGCTCTCTCAAGGTGTTTGGTGGGGCTGGGTGTGGTGTGCAGATGACTTTGTGGATGTGAGTGTGCCCGTGGAGCCGTCCCGTGTCTCAGCGGGGTGGCTCAAGGACATCTCACACAAATGCGGTCCGTCCGCCCGTATTCTTTCGTCCAATGTGACTCTGTCTGCGTCCTCCGTGTGCGTGCAGGTGTGGATCTTAGTCTTGGCTGCACGAGCGACGACAGCGAGACAGTGTACATCAGCACCACCCTGTCCGTCGTGGTGGCCCTCAACCTCCCACCAATACCCATGGACACCGCTGGCGCTTCAGCCAGTGGGGCCGGTGGCGGCGCGGCCAACAACGATGCCGTCATGCGTCAGGGGGAGACGCTCTTCCTGGCATGTCCTTTCGACAGCAACGCCATCGACCTCACTACAGCTGCTGACAGCAACGGCAACCACACAGAGACAGAGACAGAGACCACTGGTGGTGGGGAAGCTGCTGGTGAGTCGTTCTCGTCGTCCGAGCTGGCCTCGCTGCCCCTCATCTCCCTCTCGTGGATGGAGACATCGCTCAAGAAGACTCTTGGCGACATCCTCCTGGTCGGTCGGGGGGTGCAACTGTCAAACTGCGTGTGTGAGCCGGTCGTTGATGTGATGTGATTGATATGATATATGGTGGCCGCAGGTGTCTCCTGAGTCGATAGAGGTGCTCTTGTGCGAGCCCGACGGCAGTGAGGGCGGATCGCAGCAGCAGCAGCAAAATGCCCGGCAGCTGCAGCTGAGGGAGGCTTTGCTGGCCAGCGGACCGTTCAGGGGCCTGCAAGACAGAGACAGCGACCAGCCCACATCATCATCATCTGTGACGCCCCCGCCCCCAGCCACCGACACAGATGTGAGGAGAGACGACTTGTACGAGGAGTTTGCCTTTGACGACCCGATAGTCGATTACGTCAATGCCAATGTCTTCATCCAAGGTAAGGTGGCCGCACAGCACAACAGTGCCGATGGATGGATGGATGCAGTGCCTGAGACGTGACATCTTGTGTGTCTTTCTTGTTCTCTTTGTCTGCAGTGCCTTCGCTCAAGAATTTCACGGTCTCAAGGCTGCTCAAGGATGCGCTCGACACACGTAAGCCCTTTCCCCCATCATATCGCCAGCCCTCAAGATTGCCATGCAATTCTGTGTGCCCTGTTGCCCCTTGCTTGCTGGATAAACCCAGGTTTCCTCCAGTCGTCTTTGACGTCAGAGCTGACGAGCATCGTCAAGGAGCAGCACCTGGCGGCCTTTGAGTCCAGCGACCAGTCCATGCCCGAGGTGGCGTCGCCCGTCGCCTTACTCATCCCGGCCTACGACACATCCTCCAGCACACAAACGCCCCCAAAGCTGACTGCAGCCATAGCAGCAGCAACAACAGCAGCAAGACCGACAGAGCAGCAAGACCTCCCGACTTCCCCCACCCCACCACGCAGAGCGGCCCCCACCACGAGTACACCATTACCACGGGCAGCAATGGGGGGCAAGAAAGAAGTCAAAGACACGGTGGCATCATCGCTCGTCGACAAAGACACGGCAGCACTGCAGCAGCAGCAGCAGCAGCACGGCAACGGCAGCCACAGCCGCTTGCCGGCGGTGCAGATCGACAGAGACCGGCGGGCTGGCGAGGAGTCCCGTCGAATGTTCGTCAAGACCCTGCCCATCTGGCTGCCCATCGCAGGGGGGCTGGTGTTCCTCCTCTTTGTCGTGCCGCTCATCGTCCTATGTGTGCTCAAGAGCTGCAAGGGGGCCCGCAAGCACAAGACAGCTGGGAAAACGAAAGTCGTCGATCGGCCATCCGCCCAGCCGCAGCCGCACCACCAAGACAAGGCGGCCCCTGTCCCACTGTCGATGATGGGTGTGGCGATGGGCATGATGGACCGCAGGACGACCACCAGCACCACACAGGTCGATGCCCCACCCAGCTGCAGTGCGGCCCCAGGAGGTTGTGGGGGAGGGGGTGAGGATATGGACGAGTTGGGTGGTCATGTGTCGTGTGAGGGGGTGGGTGTGCTGATATCCTCCGACCATCTCAATGTCGCCTCCGCACCAAAGATATCTGTGTTGAGTGGGGGTGGTGACTGTGATCATGACCGTGATCGAGAGCCGTGTGCAGACATCAGTGTCAACGATGAGCACATCAACGCTGCCATCGACACGGTCAGCCAGTGAGAGCGGGGAATGGAGACAGACCTATGTGTGTGCATACATAGTGGGTGTGGTGTGCGGCGATGTGATGTGCGTCGAGGTTCAGGTTGTGGATATCGAGTTTGGGAGCCGTGACACAGCGAGATTCGGATAGGCACTCACTCGTTCACTGATTCACTCACTCACAAAGAACGGGGCGGTGCATACCATACGGGGTCTGTCTCGTGTGCGTGCGTCCCATAGCGACGGACGGACACCATGCATGAATGAATGACGGCATGGAATGGAACATGTGCACGCACACATACATGCCTCCCGACCATCCACGTACTCAGACACCGACTGAGAAAGGAAGGACGTCCACAGGACAAGCCAAGCCCACCAACCAATACCCACACACAAACACCATACGTACGTACGTACCACCCCGTCCATGTGAGTGAGCCATGTGAGCACACAGAGAGGGAAAGAGGCTAGGCAGGCAGGCAGGTAGGCAGCTAGGTAGCTAGAGACTAGGGAGGGAGGGAGGGAGGGAGGAGAGTGGCTGACACAGTCCATCGGTCACGACGCCACATAGTGAAAAGTCCCATACTCTGACGTCAACAGCACCTCATTGCGACCTGCACACACAGAGAGGGAGGGGCACAGTTCTGTCGCCTTGGGCGTGTTGGATATTACTGACTGGCCTTGTGGGTCTTGTGTGGCCTCTATCTTGCCGACCACCTTGCAGTCCAGCTTGAACTCGCTGCAGCTGGACTGAACCGCACTCACCAGACTCTCAGGACCATATATCTGTTCGTTCCAGCCAACGGACAGCCGAAAGGGAAGGAAGGACTGTCCGTGTGCGCCGTGCGTCAGCTCGTATTGTGTGTGTGTACCTCCATTCTGTGTCCCATGTTGAAGACCTGGTACATCTCTTCCCACGAGGCCTTCGAACACCTCTGGATCTCCTGCAGGCAGGCAGGCACCAATTTCATTTCAAGACACACATAAATGAGACGCACACACGGCACGGACACACGTGTGCGTCTCCAGGAGCAGCGCACAGCAGGTCATCTATCTATTCTACCCACCTTGAACAGTGGGGGGCAGGGGAACAGATTGTCCTTGACGTACCGCAGACGCTAATTGACGACACACACAGACAAAGATAAATCGACACCTGTCCCTGCATGAGTGAATGCAGCCTTTCCTTTCCCTGCACTCACTATGTACCTTTCCGAACTTCATGCACTTGGTCTGCCCGCCACCAGAGCAGTGAATCACACCACGCACCTATGGACACACACACAGATAGATGGACACACAAGCCACACGCGCCTCCCCTCCTCTCTGTCGCATTCCCCCTCCCCCACCTGTTTCCTGTATGTGTTGAGGAGTTTCTTGATGACGGGTGCGTAGGTGCGTGTGGGTGAGAGTATGGCCTGTCCGATGGTGAGTGGCGTGCCCTCGAGGGGGTCGGTGAGTGAGTGGGGCCCCTGGTAGACCAGCTTGGTGTCGATGTTGGGGTCCGACGTCTCGGGGAACTTGTCCAGGTAGTCCTTCCGCAGCAGCTCGTGACGCGCCATCGTCAACCCATTGCTCGCTATGCCGCTGCAGCCACGGATATCAATCACATACATGCACACAGATGCACATGACCACCATGGCCACCATGCCGCCCACGCTCTCAGTCACCTGTTGTATGCGCTTTCATATGTGGTTTGTCCGGTGCTGGAGAGGCCGATGATGACGTCCCCCGGCTGCATCTCCTCGTTGGTGATGACCTCGTCGCGGCGCATGCGGCACGTCACCGTGCTGTCTACAATGATCGTCCTAACCAAATCCCCTACACACACGCATAGACAGACGGACGGACAGACATGCTGCTGCTGCTGCTGCGTGGAGGTGTGTATGGCTTGACTCACTCACTCACCGACGTCGGCAGTCTCGCCTCCGGTGGTGATGAGGGGCACTCCCAGGGAGGAAAAATGGCGGGCGATCTTCTCGTTCGAATTAATTATCGTAGAGATGACCTAAGGAGATAGATAGATGGACACACCGAAATGGAGAACAAGTAGACGAGGCGCGTCACTCTCTCTCTCCTATGGCGCACCGCACCTCTCCCGGTATGACTTTAGCGTTTCTGCCGATGGTGTTGGAGAGGAGCATGACGTCGCAGGCACCCACACAGAGGAGGTCGTCGGTGTTCATGACGATGGCGTCCTGTGATATGCCCTCAAACACCGACACGTCGCCAGTCTCCTTCCAATACATGTACGCTATGGCTGACTTGGTCCCTGTGGGCAAACACGTATGCACACACACACACAGACATGTATATGACGAGTGAGTGAGTCGATGGTGTGTGTGTGTGGCTGACCTGCCCCGTCTGCATGCATCACAATGCAATAGTCCTTGTCGCCACACAAGTGATCCTCAACGACCTGTGCACACACACTTGTCGATTCATTCATTGCGTGGCGTGCTGTGTGGCTGACCTTGCAGAATGCGCTAGGGAAGAGGCCCTGGTCGACCTTTGCAATAGCGTTGTGGACATCCTCCTTCTGATGCGACACGCCCCTGTCAGCGTACCGACTCATCACGACGCACACCCGACGGTGCACCTCCTGTGTGACCCTGGAACGGGCGGACACTCGCAGATCTGGGTAGACTGGGTCTTGTGTGTGGAGTGGGCGTCGCGCCACACGGCTGCCTTTCCCTTCCGCGGCGTGAGACGCGACACATTCTGCGAGCTCGTGATCGATACTCAAACCCTGAAACCTGAACCCTGCCAATTATCATCATCTCGAAGCCGAGACGATTTGAGCGATTGGACACTGACTCTGACGAAGACGCCCATTTGGGCCGCAAAGCGTGCTTGATGAGCCTGACGTGATGGTGATGATGCACCTGGCACTCACCTGGCCCCCCAAAGGCCTCAAAGTTTCAAAGGCCCAAACTGACCAGAAGGAGCGTGGTGAGTCCGCCAGTGTCGGCCAGCTGACCGGGAAGGGCGAGGAAGGCGGCGAGAATCAGTTTTCTCGACGAGACACCCCAGATTTTCGCTCTCCAGCCTTCTCTGGGCCTCCTCTGGGTGTGCGACCAGCTGCAGCAACGGAGGCTCAAACGGTCCCAATATTGGGCTGGTTGTTGGCTTCTGTGGTCTGCGCCGTCACGGACGGCAGCGTGCTGTCGTGGTCGGCGCGCATCGCTCTGATGTGCAAGCCGAAGGGCGTCGACATCGGCGTCAACATCCTCAAGGCCCGAGAGGAGAAGAGGGAGAGGAGGCGCAAGGCGGAGATCAAGAGGAACAAAGGGCTCGTCCGAGAGGTGAGAACATCATTGCCTTTGTCTTGACATGCATCTCTGGTGATGATTCTGCTGGTTGTGCAGCCAACGCCACTCGCTGCCGTCGGCACCCTTCGGCGGCCGCAGCGTGTACAAACCGCAAATCCCGAGGGTCGAGAGAATCTCCGATGTGATCGACAGCGGTATTTGCTCAGGCACACACGCTGGTATCGTCTCCTGGACTGGGCGGGCTCGTGGCTTGCTGACGCTCTTTTACAGCAAAGAGCCGCCGCAGGCAGACAAGGTCCGAGAGCCGTTTATAGCTATGAAAGCCCCTCGTCTTGACGCGGACCTTGCTCGAGACGTCATTCAGCAGCCGCAGCCGGCTCGCCCGAGCCCGTCAAGCTCAAGGCGGAGCTCAATGGGCCGGAGGAGAGCGGGGGAGGGAGATGGAGCCGAAGTTCATCGAGCTGCTGGACAAGATCACCTTCACCGGTGCGCACGAAGCACATGAAATAGCGAGGACGGGGAGGGAATGTGCGATGAGGAGAAAGCCAATGAGACATGCAATGTGTGTCGTGGAATTTGTGGGCGATGACTTCGCCATATGGAACATCCCACTAGGAGGACTCGTACGCTCACAAGACGTTCACACATATAGAGAGAGACAGAGAGCGTGTTTCTTGTACATGTATGCGTCTCACGACACCACGCCCACGCCCACGCCGATACCCACCACCAACCCGACGCGGACGCCCCCGGACGCCCTCTGCAGGAGGGAGATTGCCGCCCTGGAGAGGAAGATTGACGAGCTGTTCGTGCGTCTGC